AACCTACACTTACATGGCAAAAATTGGATTGTGCCAGAGGTTGGGGGTTGGTGGATTTGTTCACATACTGGGCTAACCCCATGTTTAAATGTGAAGGTTTTTAACCAGAGTCAAGAATTCTGTGTCCTGGTTGCTGTAATGCCAAAAATCTTATACCACCCTGAAGAGGTTATGTACTCACATTGGGATCGGGAAATGCTAAGACAAAAGAGAGAGCCAATCAGTGCGATCACCATGGCAACCTTGTTCCGTCTTGGGCTGGCAGGAGCAGGGACAAGAATAGCTTCACTATCTCTGCAAGACCAAGGGTTTTCCTCCCTACGAGCCGCTATAGATGAAGATGTAACTCGCATAAAAGAATCAATCAGCCACTTAGAGAAGTCTCTGAGTTCCTTGTCTGAGGTGGTCTTGCAGAATAGGAGAAGATTAAATTTGATTTTTCTTCAGCAGGGTGGGGTCTGCGCAGCTCTAGGAGAAGAATGTTGTTTCTATGCAGACCATACAGGAGTGGTAAGAGAATCTATGGCAAAAGTGAGAGAAGGACTGGCGCAACGAAAGAGGGAACGGGAGGCCCAGCAGGGATGGTTTGAGTCCTGGTTTCAACGCTCTCCCTGGCTGACCACCTTAGTTTCCACCCTCCTGGGCCCACTTATAGTGCTATTATTAATACTCACGGTTGGCCCTTGTATTTTAAACCGGCTAATGTCATTTATTAAAGAACGTCTAAATACCATTCAGATTATGGTGTTGAAACAACAATATCAGATGGTAGCCCAGGATGAAGAGAAAGATTGCTCTACAGAAACAACAAGACAGGGGGGAATGTGAAGCTGCCAGGGCTAACACCATGACAGGAGGCCCGGACCTAAGTTTAGGTTTCCCCTGAAATGGTAAGATTCCCTACCCCATCAGGCCACCGGGAGCCAGCCAATCAACACGCGCCCAGTAAGAAAAAGGGAACCTATCAGGGGAAAGCTGAAAAAGCCCGCGAACGCCCAAGTTTGAAAAAAGCCCGTGAAAGTTTGGACCAGTAAAATTGCTTTGCAAATATGTAACCAATCCACTTAAGCCAGCTACCAACTGCTTATGCTCACCCTATAAATTTGTGTAATAGCTTGGGCTTGGGGCTCTCTGACCCTGCACCACTGCGTTGGGTGCGGCAGGAGCCCTGACTCGAGTCAGCAATAAACTTCCCCTTTTTGCGAGTTGCATTGTCTTGGAGGCCTTCTCTCTTCCCGCTCTGGGATTCGGACATCGGGCATAACACTACCCTCTGCTGGATCCCTGTGACCCCTAACCTATCTTCTGGTCTCTGGTTAACACCCTGTTGACAGATCTTCCTGAGCTATCGTTTCCAGTGAATCCTACCCTGCTCCAAAGTGCTCTGGGAGTGTCCAGAAAAACCTCAAACTTTTTAGCATCATTTTGGGTGAAACGTGAACACTCTGGTGTTTGAGATGACCGATCATCGGGAGATCTCCACATTCTGATCTCAGCCCACCCACTCTTGCTAGATGCTTTCTCTTTATCCAACTCCACCAGTCCATGTGCCCCACTTGTCTCTCCCTCAGTTGCAGTCCTATGTCTATTTTTCAAGGTGGCAGACGATGTGCCCAGAGTAAGCTATAGATGTATTTTGTTTAGTCCATATGGGCTTTAAAAAAATTCTAATTCAGACTTCCCTGGTGGTCCAGTGGTTAAGAACCTACCTGCCAATGCAGGGGACACAGTTCGACTCCTGGTCTGGGAAGATTCCACATGCCTCAAGGCAACTGAGCCTGGGTACTGCAACTACTGAAGCCCCCACACCTAGAGCCCGTGCTGCTCCGCAACAACAGAAGCCACTGCAGTGAGAAACCCTTGCACTACTAGTAGCCCCTGCTCAAGGCAACTAAAAGCCTACACACAGCAGGGAAGACCCAGTGCAGCCATACATTAATTAAAGAAAACTAAACTCTTGGAAAAAAAAGTCTAATTCTTCCTCCTTCTCTGCTTGTTCTTCCTCTTATTGATTGAACAGTGTGGATTCAATTCTAGCCTGGCACCAAAGGCTGACACCTCAATTTACCATAGTCCTCACAAGTCCCTATTTTCTGACATTTATTTTACCTCTGGGTCTATGTAGACATCTGAATTTATGATCCCCTCCTTATACTACCTTCCCACCTGGAATGGCCTTCCCGCTCTCTCATAGGCAAAACTACCCTCCTTTCAAGACCAGGTTAATGCCTTCCTGTTATATTTTTCTAGTCAACTTCTCAAAATCATCCCTGCTATGGATTCTTTCAGACATACAGACTAACGACTAACTATTATTTCTTTTTCCTTTCCCTTGGGACTTTTAATTGTCACCTCCTTTCAACAACTATTTACTAAATGTATGTGACAAGCAAGTTACTGTGCAAGGCTCTGGAGTTAAAGGCACTTACAGTTTAGAGTGGGAGATAAAAGACAAAAAGAACTGTGATTTCCTGTCCCTGCCAAACATTCCTCACAGGCACTGGGCAGTCTGGCTAACTGGCCAGTTGAGGGGACCTGCAATACAGAGCTTTCCCTGCTTGGGGATATTACAGGCTCCCAGGGTAGGCCCCAAAGCCACAGTGCAAGTGCAGATGGTTCCAGAAAGCCTCCAGGAGGAAATGAGACTCTTCATGCCAGGAGGAAGTCAGGGTAGAAGGTACCCAGCTGCCCCCCCTCAAAGTCCAACAGCCTGTGTACCAAGAATAGGGTGAGTCAGCATGGGAGGATTTATGAGCAACTCCAGGTTAGGAGAACAGATTGAGCATATGTAAAGCATCCACTCCAGCTTCAAACACATGGTTTTCTGGACTTCATTATTTTTTTTTTCCCCTTTTTTCTTCTTCTTTTTTTTTTTTTTTGGCTGTACAGCCCAGCTTGTGGGATCTTGGTTTCCCCAAGCAGGGGCTGAAGCTGCACCCTTGTCAGTGAAAACCTGGAGTCCTAACCACTGGGATGCCAGGGAATTCCCTGGACTTCATTCTTTTTAATAAAAATTAAAGTTATAACCTCATTGGAAAACTGCTTGGCAGTATCTAATAGAGCGGATAAAATGCCAACCCTGTGACCCAGCAATTCCACTCTTAGTTACACATCAAAAGACATGTATACAAATCTTTGCGGCGGCATCATTTGTAACAGCCCCCAACTGGAAACCACCCAGATGTCCATCAACAATAGAATAAGTCTTCTGTTTTCTCTCAGAAGTAACACTATTCTAGATTTTATCCTTTCATTGTTCCTTCATCTTCATGGTCATGAGCTTTTAAAATAGCTCCCAGTTATCCCTGCCTCTTGGTTTTCACACCTATGTGTACCTCTCCCCTTGAAAGTGGGCTGCATGAATTATTTATTTATTTTGCTGCCTTGGGTCTTAGCTGCAGCCCATAGGATCTTTGTTGCAGAGAACGGGCTCTCTAGTTGTGGCACCCAGGCTTAGCTGCTCCGCAGCCTGTGGGCTCTTTCCCTGACCAGGGATTGAAATTGAGTCCCCTACATTGCAAGGTGGATTCTTAACCACTGGACCACCAGGGAAGTCCCTGTCTAATGACTTTTAATAAATGGAGTACCACAAATGTGATGGATGTCACTTCTGTGATTACATTAGATAAGATTATAACTTCCATCTTGCTAACAGACCCCATTAACTCCCTTGCTGGTTTTGATGAAGTAAGCTATCATACTGGAGATGGTCACGTGGCAAGGAAATGAGGGCAGCCACCAGTCAATAGCCAGCAAAAAGCAAACCCTCAGTCCGTCAGCCCACAAAGAACTTAACTGTCGACAACCAAGTGAACTCACAAAGTCAATCTTTCCCCAGTTTTCAGATGAGACCATAGCTCTGGCCAACACTTTGACCGCAGCCTTGTGAGAAGCCCTGAACCAGAGGATCCAACTAAGCCATGCCTGGACTCTTCACCCACAGAAAATATGAGGTAATAAATATGTGCTGTTCAAGTCACTAAGTTTGTAATAGAGAATAAATAGGAGTTCTTTTCAGTTCTGCTATTACAAGGAGTGTTGCTATGAACATCGCAGTACATGTGTCACAAAACACAGGAACTTAAGTTTCCCCTGGATATGCTGAATATGTTGGAGAAGACTCTTGAGAGTCCCTTGGACTGCAAGGAGATCAAACCAGTCAATCCTAAAGGAAATTAACCCTGAATATTCATTGGGAGGACTGATGCTGAAGCTGAAGCTCCAATGCTTTGGCCACCTGGTGTGAAGGACTGACTCTGGAAAAGACCCTGATGCTGGGAAAGATTGAAGGCAGGAGGAAAAGGGGATGACAGAGGATGAGATGGTTGGATGGCATCACCAACTTGATGGACATGACTTTGAGCAAGCTCTAGGAATTATGGATGGACAGGGAGGCCTGGTGTGCTGCAGTCCATGGGGTCGCAAAGAGTCGGACACGACTGAGCAAATGAACTGAAGTGATGCTGAATATATGCCTAGGAATAGAATTGTGGGGTCCCAGGATATTCAAATGTTCAATGTTACTAGGAGTGTAATGATCAGAGTTAAAGTCACACCAAGGCCATGGTATCTTGGTAAGGGTTGGAAGTCAAGCTTGGTCTTGGTCCATAGAACTTGGCGTCAGTCTGTGGGCAGGGTTGGGAGTCATACACGTTTAGGGGTGAATCCATAAGCAAGGTTGAAGGTGACTCTGTGGCTACATTTGGGAAGAATCTGAAGCCTGGACTTGTGGTTGGGTTTGGGCAATGCTGGAAGTCACTGAGAGTAAGTTTGGGGGTCAGTCTAAGGCCTGACTTAGTTAAGAGTTAAACTTCTAAGAGTTAGTCAGGCTGTCCTAGTGCACAAAACCATCCTCCTACCAAGAAGTGGCCACTGCAGGGTCCAGCTCCCCAAGAGTTGAGACCCAGCCTGGGCCCACAAAGCTCTTTCACTTAAGGGGTGGGGATAACACAAGGGGGACAGGAACTCACTTCCCTCAGAGAAGAGAAAGCAGGCACAGGAAGGACACCATAACTTTAATGGGAACAACTCAGCTCCACATCCCCCAAATATTCTCAACATACACTGTGGGAGTGGAGGACACCTGGAAGGCACAGTCTATGGCTGAGCTCACACCTCACCCCTTCCTCTTCAGCTGCTGTGTTCTCCAGCTTTTAGCTGGGTCCCAGGTGAGTGCCCAGGAGGGGCAAGGAAGCCCCTCAGCTGTCTCGGACAGCTTCCCCTTTGACCCATGGTACAGAGAACTAGCCTGGATGGAGACGCTGCTGTCACCAGAGCTGGGTGGGGACCTGGTTCTAAGGGTGCGGACCAAGCTGGGGGACCACCCCCTAAGGCCCAGCACCGGGAGCACCAAGGCAGAGTCCCTGGTGTCAAGCACTGATTTGGGGCGCACGCCAGGTCTCTGCATGTGGCCTCTGGGTTCTGGAAAGCGGTCCATTCTCCTGACCCAGATGGAGCGGAAGGAGTGGCTCAGTTCCTGGGCTCCGCTTGGAGGGTTCCTGTCCCACTGCCCCCCATGCTCACTCATACCCCAAGGGGGCGCTTGTGTCCCAGGAGGTTCACTGGAGCAGCTGGCTCCGCCCACCCATTCGTCTGCCCTTCGAGGTGGGTGCATCAGTTGCGATGTCTGGGCTCTGGCGGATAAGGGGGCGTCTCCCAGGCTCACCGCTGCTTACGCTCTGCCTGCTGGAGCCTCCGGGAGAGGTCTTCTATGCGCACGTTCTTGAGCTGGAGCAAGTGCTCCAAGCGTCTCACCTTCATCTGCAGGACCTAGGCCAAGCCACACAGAAGTCAAGTCCAGTGGCTTGCTGCGCCCTGCCCATATTCCCAGGCCTCAATCCCCCCGCTCCCTCCCAGTGCGCCTTCACCTGCACGGTCTCCTGCGAGGCCAACAGCTCCTGCTCCTTTTCAGCGATCTGGAGGACGAAGCTTGGGTCGCTTTGCACTGCCTGGCTGTACCCTGGAGGCTGGGGCACAGGCAGTCGGCCCTCCCTGGGGTGAGATGCAGCTTAGCTGAGGCTTGGATCTCAGACCTCACCGTCACCCTTTCAGTGTCCCTCGACCAAGCCTTCCCTCCCTCTCACTGCCCATGAAATCCCTCCATCCCTGACTTCCCTATCTTTCCAGATGCAACCCTCACCCTGACCTCCCAGGTAGAGAGAATATCAGGCTTGGTAAGGTCAGGAGCTCCCAGCTTCCTTACCTGAGTTGCCCCCGTCCCTGGGGGTCTGGGGCACCTTCCCCTCGGGCCTTCTGGGACAAACCTGAGACAAGGCAAGTATAGGAATAACCCTGAAGGAGTTCTATTTTCCTGTCTTCCCTCTCCCTGTAGTCCCACCCCTTCCCCCACAGGAAGGAAGGACAGGAGAAAAGCTCTTCCTGGAAGGGAAGGGAAGTAAAGGCTACCTTACCCACATCCATGTAGTCAGTGCCATCCTGGGGAGTCAGCTCCTGAAAGAACCGCCCAGAGTTTGCAGTGACCTTGGGCTGCCCACTTCCAGGGACATCCCTCCCGCTGTGGGCTCCCTTTAGCCAGGCATCCTTCTCCCAACTTGTCACTGAGGCAGAGCTTTCTGCTGCCTGGGAAACTCCCCTAGAACAGTGCAAGAAGCTGGAGTGAGGAGGCACCTGTAAGGAGCCGATGCCCTGCTTCCTACGTCTCTGACGCTCCTCTAGGCGCTGCCTCAGTGGAATGAGCACCAGCTCCACCACACCTGGGGCACACTGTGCTATCTTGCGCATCACGTCTTCTGGTACAGAGAAGTTCAGTTTGTTCAGCACCTTCCTGGGGGTAGACACAGGGATGGTGGATTGATTCCTGGGTGGATGAAGTGATGGGTGGGGGGAAGGAAGGAGATGCAGCAGTGGTAGCCCTTCCGTGCACAGCCATGGGGGAATGGAAGGGCACCCAACCTGAGCCCAGAGCATGTATGTCTCGAGGATCCTTGTCACCTCCCCCAAAGAAGAGTCCCTTGATTTTGTTACCAGATAGATTCTGTCTGCATTGTCCTCCCCACCCCAGCCACCAGCCTGGATTGTGGAGACCATAGGAGGTGGAGGGGCTGGGCAACCCTTGCTCAGATCCCAGACTAGGGGCTAGAAATCCCACTAGTGTGCCCAGGTATTCTGTTACCTGTTCAGGTGACCCCAGTTGCTCAGTTTCTGCTGGAGAGAGTTGGCAGGGACATAATTGTGCATCTCCACCATCTTGGGGAAGTAAAACTTGATGACCTCTGCTACCAGGACTGAGGGAGAGGAGGTGGGAGCAGACATGGAAGGTGTAGAGATGGGTAAGGAAGAAGGAAGAGGGAGAAGGAATGGGTGGGGTGGGAGAATCAGGGGTGGCAGAGTGGTGGGGCCAACAGAAGAGGTAGAGATGTGGAAAGGGGAAGGATAATATGGAGGGGAGGTAAGAGAGCAAGAACAGTGATCAGGCAGAGACAAATTCTCCAGAAGAGCTTCATCCCTTTGCCATTAACTCAGGGCATCTGAAAACTAAGGTCTCTAGTCCCCTATTACAGAATGAGTATCCAAGAGCTATAGGAATTGACATAAATACACACAAACACACAATGATACAGAGGTGTAGAAACACACGCAGACACATAGGGCCATCACCAGTGTCCCAAGAGACAGTTACCAACACACATATACACAGAAACACAAAGAGTCACATATGCATCAATATACACACAGAGAAATGCATACTTCTGTCATTAAAATCCCAGGAGAGAGTCTTCAACACACAGACACCTAAACAATCACAAAGAAACATACGCACACAACACGCCCATTTTTACATATAGGACAGAACATATCAACTTGCATATGAACAAACACATGCTCAGACTCCCACAAGACATATAGAATACTGGAATAAGCATGCACACACACACACATATGCACAAATACACATCTTAGTCATTAAAGTTCAGGGAAGGAGTCATAGACACATACACACACAGAATACACCCCACACAAAGGATAGAACATGTATACATAAATATGGACACACACATGCTCACATTCCCACAGATGCACACTTCTGCAATTGAAATCTTAGGAGATGGACACCCCTCTCCCTAACCCACACCTAACCCCTCTGCCACAAGCACACAAGCACCAAGAGACATGTATTCACATAGACCCTGTACACACGTACATACAGGACAGAAGGCGTTGACACACAAAGACATACAGGACACACCCAGGCGTGCGTACGGACACACTCACACACGTTGGAGCACACACCTCCATCACTGAAGTCCCGGGACAGATTTCGCTTGGGCCGGGACAGAGGGATGTTGTCTACCCACAGATACAGTTGGTGCAGTGCTTCCTCATCCACGCTGCCCGCCATTGGCGCCCTCGGAAAGGTCAGCCTGTTCCAGCTGTATAGCGTCCAGGGCCAACCTCACGAGCCCTCAAGACCTCTTCTCTCGCCACTGCTGCGACCCAGATCCGCCGCTGCGTCTCTAACCCAGACTCGCCTCCCAGCTGGGAGCGGCCATATTGTTTTCTGAAACCATGGCAACCGAAACTGACTCGCCGGGGAGCAGGGGCTTCTGGGAGTTGTAGTTTTCCCCCCTCCCGCTGCCTCACTTCAGGCCTCACTTTGAAAAGGCAGTTTCTCTTCCCCGCCTCCCAAGAAACCACCTCTGCCAAATGGCCCACTCTGGGAACTGCCGAAGACAACCAGGCCTCCAGAATCCCTGCATCAGTGTCTTCAGAACAGGGATCCCCTTCAGGGTCCTTTAGCAATCAGTCCTAAGTGAAGGCAGCAGCCCAGTGTTTGTCAGCTTTATCTGGGGCTCTGTTGTTAGTCACCAGCTGCTTCACATCTGGACTGTGGAAGGCTGTGTGACAGTCCTTGCCAGGTCCTCCTCAGAGCTCTGTGCTCATAGAGCCATCCCCACACCACTGTCCCTTACCCCCCACCTCCATCCCCAGTAGAGTCCTGGTGAGGCATTTAGTATGTAACCCAGATTCCCAGGGAGAACACCAGACCTCAAGACCAATGTCTTTGCAGGTCATTTAAGTCCTTAACCTTATTTCCTTCTTCATGAAATGGATATGGTTCTCATCTATTTGTCCCAAAGGAGTAATAGGGAGAATGGGAAGGATATTTACAGATCTGTATTTGGGGACTGGGGGAACAGGCATTAGTTATAAGTACGGGAGCTTCAGCTCCTGTAGACACTTCTACACCATTCATCTCCCAAAGCTATTCTACAGTTTAGAAACTGAGTCAGTAACCAGTTCCTTTAGGAAAACAGAGCTAAGAATGTCTTAGTAAAGGGACACTTCAAGATCAGCCTGGGGAAGAGAGCTTGCTTCTCCCACAGACTAGTGATTTGGCTTTGGGCACTTTTCTGTACATGTTTTCTCATGGTTTTACCTACCTCATACGGGTTTCTTTTTTAAAGAATATTTTATTTATTTGGACGCGTCAGATCTCAGTTGCAGCACAGGGGATCTTCTATCTTCGCTGCGGCAAGCAGGATCTTTAGTTGCAGCCTGTAGGATCTAGTTCCCTGACCAGGGATCGCACCCAGGCTCCCCTGCACTGAGAGCAGAGAGTCTTAGCCACTGGGCCACCAGGGAAGTAAGTCCCCTCACAGGAGCTTTGTGAGCATCTAGTGTTTAGCACAGAGGCTGGCACATAGCAAGAGCCCTATTCATGTCGACTGGTGTTATCATTAAAGAGATGATCTCAGTTCGAGCAAGAGGCATTCTTGTTGGCAGCAGATAAATGGAAGCATTTGCCTTGGTATTTGAGGCGAGGGACTTGGATTGGCCAGTGGCATCTAGGGAGAAGACTACTGCTCCCACCCATTTACTCCAGAGCAGGCGAGGGGGTAGACTGGGCTTCTTTGTCTCATCCTCCAGAGCTCAGATGGGGACTAGACGTGGGCCAAGGTGGGGCTGAGAATCCCAGGTACTTTTTGCTCTTAGTTCTGAAGCCTTCAAGGCCTAGAAGGAATCCCTGAGTGCCAGAGGTGTGGAAGGGAAAGTGTGGAACAGCCCCTCCACCTTCCTGTTTAAAAAGATGATGTGGATAAGTGCTCCCCCTGGCCCCCACATTCCAGGGTGGAGAGAGGAGGAACTACAATGAGGTGGGGGCAGGGAAACAGAGGTGTGATGTGCCAGCCTCAGGCAAGGTGGGAAAACCGGTTTGGGGCCCAGAGCTGCCAGCCTGCTCAAGCTCAGGCCCTCCCCTCACTGGAACTACTGGGGCCTGAGGGCCTCAATGAGGAAGGGCCTGGGAGGGGTGAGAAGAGAAAAGGCAGGTAGGATCAGCAGATCAGGCTGTCTCACCTTTGGATGGGGGGGCCCTCTAGAGGGCATCACACAGGGAGTGGTTAACATCCTCAACCTCTTCGGGGTGCAATGTGTCCCCAGCAATTCCACCTCTACCCTGCCACTGTTTCCAAGGATAGCCGCCAGGACTGGAGATGCCAATCACTGAAAGGCGCAGAGGACTCCCCACTTAAGGTACCATACAAGGGATACCCCTACAACTCCAACCTGGCCCACAGGAGCTGCCCCCAACATTCTTTGCTTTCTGCCCTCCTGCCCCTCTCCTGCAAGGATCTTCTTTAATGGGCCTTGATAAGCCTAGTTCCCGGGCATCTAGCTTAATTTGGCCCTCCAGGGACTGTTGGCTCCCTCCCTCCTATCCTAGCCAAGTGACCCAAAGCTTCCTACCCCTAAGCACTGCAAGGCCCAGCTTCCTCAAACCCACCCCCAGGCACTGGTGCACTGAAGATCCCTCCTGCCCCCAAGCCTGTGCTGACAGTCATGTCCGCCTCTTTGCAACCCTATGGACTGTAGCACGACAGGCTCCTCTGTCCATGGGATTCTCCTGATAAGAATACTGGAGTGGGGTGCCATTGCCTCCTCCAGGGGATCTTCTCGACCCAGGGATTGAACCGACTCTTAAGTCTCCTGCACTTAAGGAGGCAGGCAGATTAGGCAACATTTAAATACAGATGTTGCCCCTCACCCTGGTCAGGGCCTGGGCTGTAGCCACTCTCTCATTTGTCCCACCAGAGCAGGGATCAAAAGGAACCGGGAAAGAAGTGTCCCCAAGACAGACGCAAGCCCAGACCATGAAGGATGCACCCTTGGCTGTTAAAATGTCCACTCCCACAAAAGGGGGGCAGACAGATTTATTGAATTCAGACTGGGAAAGGAGCAGCTGGATGGCTGGACTCTGGGCCCAGCCCCAGGCCCCCTGCCCAGGATAGGGCCCTGCCAGAGAGGAAGGAGAGGCATGGGGCCTGCAGCTGCCCACAAGGGAAGTGCCCATTATCACTCCTCTGGAGGGCCTCTTGAGAACCTCCAATCTGAAAGAAAACCAAGGGCCAAAGTAACATGGACTGGGCCAGAGGAAGGGGTTGGGAAGTGGGGAAGCAGGCTGAGGCAGGCCTAAGAGCCCGTGGTTAGACTGTGCTTCTCAAGGTGGCCTGGGGACAGGGATGTGGGGCTGCCAGCCTTGTGGGGTCCTAGGCTGGACTTTTCTCTGGAGCCCTTCCCAGAATGGCTTTGGGGTCCCCCCCACCAAAGACCTGGTGTGGATGGCAGAGGGGAGAGGCACTCTCTGGCCAGGAGCTTCCAGGGTCCACCCCTGGCTGCTACTGTGGCCTAGTCCAGTGATGGCACGGTGTGGTAGCACCGGACAGCTCCCCATCCTCCCCACCGAGTCCCCCATGCCTAGGGGCAACTGGAGAGGAAAGAGGATTCTGAAAAAGAGGCAAAAAGCAGGCAGTGAGGTTGATGCCAGCCCCAGGCCCTAGAGAGGTGACTGGGCCTGTCACAGGGCCAGGAGAATATCACTAAAGGATGTGGGATTCCCCACTCTGCCTCCATCCACAGCAGTCGCCCAGAGAGTCCTCTGCCCTGGTGCTGCCACATCCAGGTTGGGGGCATGGCTGAGCTCACTGGCTCAGCTTTGATGTCCAAGACCCCTAACTCCTGCCTGCCTGGCATGGTTCTTTCTGGTCACATGAACCAGGTCATGTTCCAAGTGGAGGATGTGGCTTTGCACACGGTCATCGATGGGGAAGGAGGTGAGGTACCTCTTGACCATAGCAAAGTAAGCCATTGCTTCCCCGAAGCTGGGTACGGGCACCTCATCACCATCCTCCTCATCATCTTCATCATCTTCATCCTCCTCATCATCATCTTCCTCTTCTTCCTCACTGTCTGACTCAGAGTCCTCCTCACCTTCCAGGAAATGGAGGGTAGGGCACTGGGCCTCCTCCTGGGCACCGTAACCTCCGAAGCTGCCACCAGCCTCCACTACACCCTGGGCCCAGTCCTCAGCCTCCAAGCCCTCAGAGGAGCTCTCTTCCTCCTCCTCCTCTTCCTCTTCATCACTGTCATCAACATCACCCTCCTCTTCTACCTCCTCTTCCTCCCCGAGCTCCTCTCCTTCCCCCCCTTCCTCCTCCTCCTCACCATCCTCCTCCTCCTCCTCCTCCCCTTCACCCTCCTCTTCCTCTTCTTCCTCCTCCTCCTCCTCTTCCTCCTCTTCCTCTCCCTCACTCTTGAGGGCAGTAGTGATGGTAGCATTAGGGCCACCCCCAAAGCCAGCCTCACGAAAGCAGGCAGCTATGTCGGAAGGTTCCACAGCCTGCCAAGCCGCAGCCACGAAGTGCAGGGCCTCCATGAGGCCTAGCTGCAGGCCTGAGCGATCCTGGCCCTCTAGCGCTGCCATGGCCTTCAGCAGCATGGCCTGGCGGTAGTGGCCCTTCACCTGTTGGACCACGCCACGCTCCAGCGGTTGCACCGTGCCTGGTGGGAAGAAGGCCAGCTGCACATGCCGCAGGCCCGAGGTATCCAGGGACTGGGCAGCCAGGCGGCCAGCCAGCAGCAGGACTCGGCGAGATTCTGCAGCCATGCGGGTGTCCAGGGCCTTCAGGTACTTGGCCAGAGCCTGGGTGGTAACACCACCCTTAGAGTTGGCGGTATAGTCACAGGGCAGGCCAGCTTGGCCTGCACGGGGTTTGGCAGACTTGCCAGCCACAAGCGGGGGCAGCTTCTCACTACCATCGGCGTTGGCACACAGCAGGACACTCAGGCGCTGGGTGGCCCTGCGTGCCCGTCCATCACTGCCACACAGCCCCGCCGCTTGGTCGGGCAGGAAGTCGTACCACAGACTGGTCTCAGTGGCGCTGAACACGTCCTGGGAAGCGTAGCCCTCGGCCACCGACGGTGGCTGCTCCTCCCGAGCGCGCCAGCCCGTGGTACCCCCACCGCTGCCCTCCGAGGGCACTGCGGGAGGGCTGGCGGGCGCCGCTGGGGGCCGGGGGGCAGAGCTGCGCGACCTGGCGCGGGCCACGCCGCTGCAGGACACTACACCGTGGCGCCGGCGGAAGCGGTCCAGCCAGCCATTGGAGGCAGTGAAGTCGTCCATGCCCAGCTCCTCGGCTATACGCAGCGCCTTCTCCTTGAGGATGATGCCCTTGACCGGCAGGCCAGCGGCGCGGATTTGCTGGAACCAGGCGATGAGCAGCCCCTCGAGCTTGTCGTAAGGGGACAGTTTGTTGGTCTTGCGACAGGTGGAGGCTACACCGTACTTGCGCTCCGACGCCAGGATGGCGCGCTTGTTCTTCAGGATGGTGCTCAACGTGGACGGTGGGATGTTGAAGCGCCGCGCGATCTCGCCCTTGCGCAGGTCCGGGTTCTCCTCCACCTCCTGGATGATCCGCGACTTCTCCCGGAACGTCAGCTGCCGTGCGGGGAGCGGGGAGCCGGGAGCGCGGCGAGCAGGGCGGAGCGGGGAGCGGGATCTCGCGGGAAGCGCGGGGACGCCCGGCACCGCCTCCAGCCCTCCGCGCCCACCCCTCTCCCCGCCGCCCGGGACAGACCGCGCGGGGGCGCTTCGGCCTGCCCGAAAGGCCAGCGCTGTGGCGTCTGGTGACCCTCTGGCAGCAGTGAGGGCTGCGGCTGTGTGCCCGGCCTTTGCGCCGGGTGGGCAGAGATTTGCTGCTTTCAAAGAATAACAACCGTGTTTTGTCTTTTTTTTTTTTTTTATTAAGATAGAAATATCCCGCTTTTTTTTCCCCCCGGAAACTGAAAAATAATGGAAACTAAAAAAGCACCTTTCATCCCAACACCTGGAGAGATGCACAGCTCACGGTTGGATACATTTTCTCCCAGTCTTATCTCTAGGCGCATGTAGTTTTCTTTTTAAAAATTTATCTCATAAAACGAATCAGACGGTATAGGCATATATTGGCATCTCCTGTTGCTTTTTTGTTGTTCAGTCATTGAGTTGCTCAGCCCTTTGCGACCGCGTGGACTGCAGCACAGTAGGCTTCCCTGTCCTTCACTGTCTCCCCAAGTTTGCTCAAACTTATGTCCATCGAGTTGGTGATGCCAGCCAACCTCCTCCTCTCTCTTCCCCTGCTTCTGCCTTCAGCCTTTCCCAGCATCAGGGTCTTTTCCAATGAGTCAGCTGTTTGCATCAGGTAGCCAAAGATTTGGAACTTCAAATTTGGCATCATTCATATATTCAGGGTTGATTGCCTTTAGGATTGACTGGTTTGATCTCCTTGCAGAGAGTCCCTTGGACTCTCAGGAGTCTTCTCCGCCACCATACCAAAGCATCAGTTCTTTTGCACTCACCCTTCTTTACGGTCCAACTGTCACATCTGTGCATGACTACTGGAAAAAACCATAGCTTTGACTATACAGACCTTTGTCAGCAAAGTCTTTGCTTTTTAAGGCCCTTAAAGAGTCTTTGTCTCTGCTTTTTAATACACTGTCTATATTTTTCATAGCTTTCCTTCCAAGGAGCAAGTGTCTTAATTTCACAGCTGCAGTCACCATCTGCAGTGATTTTGGAGCCCAAGAAAATAAAGTCTGTCACTGTTCCATTGTTACCCCATCCATTTGCCATGAAGTGATGGGACCGGATGCCATGATTTTTGGTTTTTGAATGTTGAGTGTTAAGCCAGCTTTTTTACTTTCCTTTTATACCTTCATCAAGAGCCTCTTTAGTTCCTCTTTGCTTTCTGCCATAAGGGTAGTGTCATCTGCATATCTGAGGTTGTTGATATTTCTCCCAGAAATCTTGATTCCAGCTTGTGCTTCATACAGCCTGGCATTTCAAATGATGTATTCTGCATATAAGTTATATAAGCAGGGTGACAATATACAGCCTTTATGTGCTCCTTTCCCAATTTTGAACCAGTCCATTGTTCCATGTACAGTTCTAACTGTTGCTACTTGACCTGCATACAGGTTTCTCAGGAAGCAGGTAAGATGGTCTGGTATTCCATCTTCTTTAAGAATTTTCCACAATTTGTTGTGATCACACAGTCAAAGGCTTTAGCATAGTCAATGAAGCAGAAGTAGATGTTTTTCTGTAATTCTCTTGCTTTTTCTATGATCCAACAGATGGTAGCAATTTGATCTCTGGTTCCTCTGCCTTTTCTAAATCCAACTTGTACATCTGGAAGTTGTCGGTTCACATACTGTTGAAGCCTAGCTTAAAGAATTTTGAGCATTACCTTGCTATCATGTGAAATGAGTGAAATTGTGGGGTAGTTTGAACATTCTTTGGCATTGCCTTTCTTGGGATTGGAATGAAAAGTAATCTTTTCCAGTCATGTGGCCACTGCTGAATTTTCTAAATGCTTCTTTACCTGGCATCAAGTGATGAGAATTTTGCCTTACAGATAAAGTACTGCAAACTTTTTAATGGTTGTATATTGTCCCAACTATGGTTGAATACTAATCAGTGAAGCCTTTTGTTACACATTTAGGTTATTTTTATAAGCAACACTGTAGTTTTAAATCTGT